TCCTCAAATTACTTATTCCATTAGTTTCGAAGTAATTGGTTATCTATCAGTAATTATTAATTATGTAATTAAGGATTTAAAGATGATTTGTTGACTGATAGTTGGCATCGTGAGGCCTAAGCACCAAATTACAGGAAACGTAACTATAAAATCACATTAAATTCTTGTGGATATATAATTGCCTTAAGCAACATAGGCTTTCGAGGCTCTAAGTAAAGAATAAATGATAATTTTATAATATACCCACACGAAAAGAAAATCTTTTGTTGTTCGTGTCCTACGGTTATTCAATTTGTGGATGTATAATGCTAATCGAAATTAGATCATTGGATCTTAGTGAAAAAAATGTATACAACCAGATTTACCATATTTATCCTAGGCATGATGTAACAGCTTTGAATATGCAAAATTATTAACATTTCAGCGCTAAAATTGTTTTTTTATTCTTTATCATTACTAGTCGTTGGCTTACACTGCGGAAAACATGGTGTCCATGCACCTGGTAACAAAAAGATTATTCACTTTTTTGTGCGGCCACGCTTAACAACTGGGGCGGCAACCGAGCAGTTTATATACCATATGAAGCATATTTGATTCACAAAATATGGTAGATAGTCAGAGGCAAGAATACATATCTTTTTGCATTCATAGCTACTTTGTTTATCTTTTCATCATTCAAACCTTGTTTCGGTTGCCCTCAACCATGGTGCTTTCACTGAAACTGCAAATTGGCGTAGTCTAACTTTTGCAGAATATCACATCCGATGCGCTGACCTCAGCGTAAATTTCAAATTTTATGTTATGTTGACTGATCAGGTGAGAACCAGAAGTGCATAGAGTACGTCTCAATAAAGGGTTCTACAACCAACAAACACGCGTTGGCTGCGCGCGAATCCCCGACGGTGAAGTCGGGTCTGAATAAATCTACCGCATTCGGCGTCCAATACATTTCTGGTCAATTTGAAGCCATAGAAGAGAGTACTTTCCGGCGTGGTGACTTTATATGCTTTTCATCGCGACAAGACAGTAAAAAATTTGCCAGCTCGAATGAAACAGCAGCTATTTCTGACTGACAATACACAGAAGTGACAACCTTTACGAGCCTGTTAGCTGAAAACAAAATATCTCTCCACATTTTTGTGGTGAAACTGACCAGTAGCTAATGTCGGATTTCCTAACTTTAATTCACATATAAGTAGTATGACCTCGTTGTCATGTTATCACGGGACCTAATTGGGCGCACTTTGTCCAAAGTCCTTTGCAATAGTAGTTGTCATAATTC